GGCCCACCACAGAATCTGTATCGATGATCTGATTTGATGTGTAAAACTCGCCGAGTATTTTATTCTTATAAAAAATCATGTTGATCAGATATCAATAACCATTTGATCAAATCATATTTGTATCAATAATTTAATTTTAATATATTTTACAAAAATAAATTACTCGACTAGTCTTATACATTAAACAGTTAAAATCATCGATACAAATTTCGTAATAAATGCGGTGAAAGCTAATAACACTGTCTAATTCAATATAGATGGGAGTGAGTAATGTTCAATCATATAATGCTTTGATAATCAATTCACCCTTAAAGTATAAGTCTGAATTATATAATTTATAATATACAATCAAAGGATCGGCTGATGCTGTTCTTGGCGTAGTGTTATGCTCGACACTGAGCATCTGCCTATTGTCATATCATACGTCTTCCAAATAGCTCTTCTAATTAATGTTCTCATCATCTATGAATTTTCTACATAAATAGTTTTATTTTTTTAAATAAAAAATAAAATACAACTTATTGTTAATTAGGAAACTTAAAAATTGAAGTGTCAATCCACCATCTTAAAATATATATATATATATATATAAATTATACTTTGCATTCCTGTATTTTATATAAAATCTCATTTTGACCCTTATATATGAAATCATGACAGTTAATCCTTTACATTTGTACTTAAATTTCACTTTGGTCTTTACATATGAAATCATGACAATCAACATCTGTACTTTTAGTCAAATCCTATTTTGGTCCCTATACAAGTGTCAATGTATCCCTTCTATACTCAATTATTTAAATCTTTAATAAAATGTAGTCATACGACAAGAATGTGACTACGAAATGAGGATAAGATAGAAAAATCATCTCAATTTTTCATCAATATAAACACTTTGTCTCAAAATTTAAATCAAATTACGACTGTATTAGGTTAAAACAAAACGTATATTGTGAATGATTAAGAAAATGAACTAGGGTTTTGCATCAATTGGAATTATATAATTTTGTTTTCGAAGGTAACACACTTTTTTGACTATTCCTCTTCCTTGTAGACAGAAAAATGAAAGGGTAACTTTTTGATTTCTCTGCTGTCTTTTTTTTTTTTTCTTTATTTCAAAAGCCTTATTTTCTTTCCTCTTTATCTCAATTTTTAGCGTGTTCTCAGCAGTCGCACGGTGCATTGGCTAGTATGAGATTGTTCATTTTTTGGGAGATTGAGATAGAGATGTGGCAGTGTCATGCCAACTCATGTGCGAGTGGGAGATGTTAGTAATGGGCGCCCATGTGGCATGACCATTTGAATTTGAATTTGAATCTTATCCAAATAGGTTTTGAAATTGAATTCAAACCTATTTAGGATAACCACTCAGGATACAGATATTATCTCTATTAACTGATATGGATAGATAATAACAACATATTATATATCTGGTATATGGGTTATGGGTCAAATAGAGAGAAACAACGTATGATCTGATTTTTACCCATATACTGACTCTCTCCCAAAAACAACGATCAAGTCATTTGCACTGTGATTTGTGTGGGTGATATTCATTCTGTAACATCACTTCACTGCTGGGCTGGTTTATCAGATTCTGGAAGCACGTGATTTACCCACGAGGTTCTATCATCTAAAGGTATGATCTAAATATTTTATCCGCTGCAATTTTTATACTTTGATTTACAGTATTTTTTTATTGTCACTAATTTTTTTAATATTTTAAACATTTTTTAAAAATTTTAGACACAACTAGCATAAATACATTTAAAAAGTATAATATTTGTGAAAAAAAAATCTTTAAAAAATTCACTAAATACCAAAAATATAAGTTAAAAAAATGAAAATTCAATACATTTTTCATATTTTTGTGTATTTATTAATTTTTTAAATATTTTTTTCACAAATATTTTACTATTTACATACACATAAATAAGGTGCATCTAACAAAATAAAAAAATTGCTTAAAATTTTAAAAATATTCACTAAAAAAAAATATGAAAAACAAAAAATCAATTTCAAAAAAATTGAATTTAAAAAACTGAAACCAAACACACTGGCTAGATTTTTTACAAGTCAAGGTAAGATTTTTATAGATTTTAGGTGTTAAAATGTTAATTCCTTTTTCTAAATACTTAAATTTTTATAAGTTACTGATTTTTTTTTTAAAAAAAAAATTAAGAGGCCAAGTTAAAAATATAAGCTACGTTTGGTTTGATTTTCAAAAACTTGTTTCACAATTTTTTTTTTAAAAAAAATAAAAGGCCGAAATTTTTTTGGCTCCAAAAAAAAAAAGACCTTTTGGTGACTAAAATATTAATTTATTTTTTTAAATAATTAAAATTATATAAACTTATTCAAAATTTTGTGAAATTTAAGAGAGTTAGAAATTGAAAAAGTGGGTGTGTCAGGAGGAGCTCCACCCATTCAAGCACTAAGCAAGTATAAATTTCCGCTATCCTATCATGTTAATATATATGAAATATATAATATTTATTGTGTAAAAAGTAATTTTTTTCAAAAACATAAATAATTAATATTTTTATAAAAAATATTAATATTAAAATTATACTTATATATTCGATAAATATATATCTTAAATTATAAAAATATTTTAAATGAATGAACTTTATTAATTTTTAAATTATTAAAATATTTATAAAATAATTATAATATTACAATTTAATTTCGATTCAATCCAACCTTTAAATCAGTGATCCGTGTATCAAATCTTTTTCGATTAGCTCACTAATCTGATTTTTAAAACCTTGGCTCCACCTTCCCCCTTTGCACCACGAGATGCTGTGGTCATTGTGATCATTGGATTCCTTGGCAAGCGTTAATTATGGGAGGCCTGAGGCCTGAGACCCGAGGCCCATCCTTGAATTGATTTTCTGAAGCCTTATAGTTCTGTATTCTACCCATTATTTCCCTATGACGGCTTTGTTTCTTTTGACTGAACTTTGTATGAGTTGTGTGCATAGGAATAAAACAAAATAATAATGAAATTAATATTATAATGCGTATTTAGCTTAAGTGGTATGAGTCTTCGTACTTAAACCCATGGTCATGGGTTCAAACCTAATAAAAAATACTGCCATATGGGTTCAAACCTTGCCCATCTCTTTTCTCTTTGTTTAACTTTTTTTTAAAAAATAAAAAATACTGCCATATGACATGAGGAGAGTAAAGCTTCAGGACACCATAAGAGCTTTTTTAAAAAAAATAAAAAATACTGTCATATGGCATGAGCAGAGTAAAGTTTCAGGACACCATAAGAGTTATGTGTTCACTTTATAATAGTATATATATATATATATATATATTTAGTTCTTTTTTTAAATAAAAAAAAAGGTAAACATTTTACTCTTTAAAACGTAAACAATTGGAGAAAAAAATTTAAAATTTTAGTAGCAACAAAAACAGACCAAATTTAAAATAAAATAAAAAAAATCATTTTTAGTGAATTTTAAAAAAAATATTTTGCCCTAACATTATGCAAGTGATACCCAATGCCCCCAACCTAATTATTCAACTACTTAAGCAATGGAACAAAAATTAATTTTAAATAATAACGATGTAGCAGGGTTGGGACATAGGATCTCATGGGGAGGACTAGATCTCATATCGAAATGGGTAACTCAAGGGATTAAATAAATCTGGCCTTATTTATTCATAAGTGAAGCTTCCACTATTGACATGTTCTCAGGCTTTACATGCCACAAAAAATAAAAAAATAAAATTTAATTCATGCAAAGTCAGTTACTTATTATTGGACGTCCACATGTAGGCTGTACCCATATATGCTCTTCTTTCATTATCAAACAGAGAGAGAGATTCATCACCCTTAAAAAATGCAGTCAACTAAATCATCAAAAATATTTTTTTTAAAAAAAATTACATCATCATAAATTATAAAAAAAAATAAAAACTATATAAAAATCTTCATAGTTACCCACCATCAAAGCATAACTAAAGATCTTTGATTACAGATCTATTTCGTATAGTCCAAAAATTCACACTCATTAAACAATTTATTAGCTTCAAGTAAGATTTTCTTATATCCAATTGTTGCTTGGAAGGGGTGGATCGATGACATCTTCAAAACAGGAGGGAAATTTTGTATTATGAAAACAGCATACCAGAGACTAAAAAGTCTTCCCAATGGCATTCAGCACCATGTTCACTTTATTTATTTTTTATGACAGAGAACTCAGTTTAAGTGAGGTGTGTAAATTCGGGATTCAAAAACTACCCCTTAAGCCTATGACTAGGCAAACAAGAGGGAAATTTCGATTATGAAAACTAGGACGGTTTAGTTAGTTAGCCCATATACCAGGGATTTTTTTTTAAACCGAGAATTCAGCCTAGGCAGGCTCTTTGCACCCACTTAGTTGTGTAAACTGGCGATTTAGAAGCTACCCCTTAAGCTTATGAATTGGACAAATTGCGGGAAATCGAACCTCAGACCTCTTGCAAAGGAACCTGGGCAACTGACAATCAAAGATACCTTCACAGAGGTTGAGTGCCATGCTCACTTTCTCAGAATTAGCACCTCCCAACCAAAGCCAAAAAGTTTGGAAAAGAAAAAAGGAATTATAAGAGTGTCTAATCAGAAGCCCCAATTTCATGCATAAAAAAAAAGGGATATGATCACAAACCTGTACTAGTTCTTTCACAAATCTAGTTAATGCTTATAAGAATTACAACAGTTTTTTTTTTTTTTTTTAATGACCGGGTGTCCGAGCCAATTTACATACACTTTGACTAATCTCGGAATCCACACAAAGCGCCCTCTCCCTGTGGATTGGGCAGAGTCTGAGACTTCAAGAGAATACACTCAGTGAGTTATTTCTAATAAGTACAACAATTAATACCAACTATCTATGTCATTCGATTACATGATCATAGAATCTACCTAAACAAACACTAAGGCCCTTCACAATTCTAAGAAAAAGCAAAAAATAAAATAAAATAAAATAAAAAATAGTACATAAAAATTATCTGAGCAGAACCTTGATTATGTTTGAAGAGCTGCCACGGGACCTAGCATTTGCACCCCCACGACTAATCCCAAAGCACAAAGTCGAAACAGGCGATTCACCACGTTCATCTTCCCTCTTTATCCTTGAATCAAAAGGTGATCTTGGGCTCGACATTTCTAATTTCCCTCGCATATTTGAAGAAGTAAATGAAGAAGACGACACAGAGCGCAATGGTGAACGTGATGATGATGATGAAGAAGCAGGAGATGGTGGGTGACTGGTTTTCCTCATCAGCTTGGGAAGGAAAAACTGTGAAACGGTGCGCTTCAAATTCTGTTCTTTTGGTTTTCTAGGGGCATGGAGATTGAAGGAAGGTGGAGGACTGAGAGGAGGAAGTGGGTTTTCATGGAACTTGACTTTAGGAGTTCCAGGTTGGGATTCCCATACAAATGGTATAGCAACAGGAGAACCTCCATAGTAGACTTCTACAGAGGATTTGGGTACTGAGACCTCCCTGGATTTGACTTTGATGGAATTTTCAGGAAGATCTGAGCTGCCCATAATAAGCATCTTTTGGTTTTCAAGTACTTAAAGGCTGAGAAGAAACATTTTTGGAGAAGACAAAGAGAAGAAATGGTGGAGGGATTTAACTAAGGGTTTGAGTTCCTGCACATTAAAGTCCTAGCGTACTGGTATATATGCCTTTGCTTTATATAGTTTCAGAATTCCCATACTGGCATAATTAATTAAGTCCTAACATACTAACATACTGGCACATTAATTAAGTCCTAACATAGTAACATACTGGCACTAGATGAGTATTATGTGAAATTACTTGCTTGGTTCGTTTGATAAATATGGAAAGGTAGATCAAATATCTAACAAAGGTAGTTCAGTATTGATTAGAGCATCACGTGAGTAATGTTACATGATATTATGAGATTATTAAATAATTACCTATAAATTAGGGTTTTGTCTTTTTCCTTGGCAATTGTTGGCAGGTAAAGAAAAGAAAAAAATTAGAAAATCGAAAAGTTAAAAAAAAAAAAAACCGTGTGTTGTGTAAATTAAAATTTTGTATAACATGTGCCACACATAAAATAAATCTAGCCTACCTACTTTGATTTTTAATAATTTTCTGATAATTTAGATTAAATCCAAGAGTCATTCCAATCAAATATGAGGTTGGATTGGTCTATTTTTTCTAAAAAAAAAGTTCAACTAGTAGATCAATATTTAGCAGAGTCAGACTAACATTATCAACAAAATTGAGAGTATTGTCATGCATGATTCATGTCAAAGTGAGGGTAGCACTTTGGATGAAATCTCATTCCATTGGTAGCTCCTACTCAGTTAATGATTTTATTGGTAACTTTCAACAGGTCAGAAGGTGTTTGGGACTTTGAAACAGGGTGTTGGTCTGTGGGTGGTTTGGTGGATTGGAATCCCTCCAATGCACTCTTGTACTCTCTATTTCTTCCTTTTGTTTGCTGTTTGTTTTAGCTGATGGGTTGCACATGATTGACGTTATGGAGTGTCCCAACTTAGTTGGGATCTGGGACCGAACTAGAAGAAAATTACGGGGGCATGATCTCTCTGTTTCTGTGAATATTATTATTTTATTTAGAACTTTAAATATATATATATATATATATAAATACACATATCATTCTTCTTCCATCTTAAATTATCTTTTTATTTTACATCAAAAAAAAGTTATTCATTCTATTAGAAATTGCTTCTATGATATTTAATTTTTTTTTAATGTATATATCATTTATACGTACATGTGTATTTTGTATATATGGTGAAAAAAATTATTTTTCTTTTGACTTTTCAGCAATAAAATCCTAGTTCTGTCTCCCGTTGGGATGCTTTCATGTTTGGCAGTGATGCAGTTAGTATGTATTTTTTTTTTTTTGTACCCTTCTCTTCTTATCTAATGAATTCTTCTTTACTGATTAAAAAAATATATATATGATACATGTATAATCGAAATCACATTCAACTAGGGGAGTTTACGAACCATACCATAATCCACGATTTTTTATTATTTGAAATTAAAATTTAATTATTCTGTTAAAACTAATTGGATCAAACAGTACAATTTGAACCAATCCAAATCAACTTAGATGAATCAACAACTAAGCTTCTAGCAATATATATGTAAATGCGCACATGCATATATTCATGTTTTACAGAGGCAGCTATGGAGATTTCCTCACTCGCATCTTTTGTGAGTTACTAAATTTTAAAATTGAAAAATTCATGTGTTGCCCTGACAAATTAAAATGTTCTAACATGTCGTGTCTTACCTTTTTAATATTTAGAGATATCAAAAAGTCTAGATATCTTTTGACAACTTTAAATTTTGATATATTTAAAATAAAAAATTCGATCAAAATGTCAAATTTACTATTGTATTATTTTTTAAAAATATCTTTCTTACTTGCAACAAAACGCTTTCAAAAGTGGCTCCATTAAAATAGACAAACCAAAGAAAATGATTAGAAGGTTCATAAGTCGTACGCCAAAATTGATGGTAAAGACAGGATGCCAATTGTCAAATAGGATTTTGACACTCTGTTGGAGCATTCAGTACCGTCAAATACGATATATCAACTGCCGTTTTAAAAAAAAAAAAAAAAAAAAAAAAGTATATTTTTTGATTTATTGATTTATATGAGTTAGATTTGAGTTGAGTTTGATGTGATGTATTAGAGAGGTGATATAATTTAAATAAATTGGTGTGACTTAAATAAAATAATAACTTTTTGACTTTTTATATTATTTAGTTTATGCCAAACCAACTTTTAAAAAACATTCTCCTTAAATTTATAACTTACCATCTTCTCTGCCTACAGCGGTTATTCTACAATGAGGAATGATACATATTTCTTAATTTTAGAGCTCTAATGATGTGGCAAAAAATAAAAAAAATAAAAAAATAAAACTAAGATTAAAATATCTACATCACAGTGAGGCCACTCCTATTAGAACTCATTAAAGTTTTCTTTACTAGAAATCTCAATCATTTTTCTTCTACAATTTGATAGCTTGGTGTAATCCCATTCATTTCAATTTGACACTCTGTTCTAAGAGCATCCCCACCAATTTCCTTAAACTTTCTCTTTACCTATTTTAAGGGATAAATGATTTCTTATACACCTGTATCAGCTTCCCTAAATAATTTCTTAATTTAATTTTTGCTACAGTGACTCCCTATTTGTAGAGAGTCACTGTAGCTTCCTTATATATATATATATATATATATTTTTTTTTTTTTTCTTTTTTTGCTTTGCTTTATTTAGGGACTGCAGTACACATTTATGATTTTTATTTTTTAAAAATTTATAATTAAAAATTATATTTTAATGAAATAAAGAAAAACATGGAGTTTGTTAATAAAATAGAGAAAGAATAAGGAGTCTGTTGGAGGGAAGTAAATAAAAAAGTAATTCTTAAAGTAGGGAATGAATTTTTTAATAATATTTTAAAATAAAATTTAGGTAAACTGGTGGGGATGCTCTAAGCCTTTGTTGTTGACTTTTTGATTTTTTTAGCATGGACTAAAAAGTTTTGTTTGGGATGAACTTTTTGTTTGGTTTGTGTTTCTCAAAAAATTTTGGAAAAAATTCTCTACAAATAAGTTTTCAAAAGTAATCAAACCAAACAAATTTTCCTAAAATTTTTTTTCCAAAACTTGTTTGGTTTATAAGTTTTCCAAACAAATCTCTCTCTGTATACATCAAATCAATCACTTTTTCCAAAACTCTCTTTCAAAATAATTTTTCAAAACATCTTTTGAAAAAAAACCAAACCAAACAAATTTTCGTACTTTTTATCTCAAAACATGCTTCTCAAATACAAACCAAACAAACTCGAAATGATTATGGTTTGGATATAATATTTTATTTTATTAATTTTTAACCTATTTTTACCTTTTTTTGTGATTAAAATAACCTCAATCTCACATACCAAACATAGGCTATCTGTTTATATGATCTAGCACTGTTCATACTGTTCCACCGAAGATGAACGGTACAAATAACACTAAAGAAAATAGATGTAACTTGTAAATCATTAAGCCATAAAAACATTACTAGAATTTATTTATTTTTTGTGAAAAAAGAATCATCAATAAAAATAAATTGTATGATGAGATCTCTAGGTGTAACCTAATTACTGAAGAATATTTCAATGAAATTCTACCAACTCTATAATCAATGTTCCCTATAAAAATTAAACAATACCCAAGACATAAAATTTACAATCCAACTGAGCTTATAAAATTTATGACTACCTAACAATTTTAAAATATTGTTATTTGTAACAGTGTTTCCTCCATCTCTTGTTTTACATTTTTATTTGGACAACTTTTTATTATTCAGTTTTCCTGTGACGAATACCGTCGACCTAGAAAAAATTAAAACAAATATAGAAATGCCCAATTCTTAATGACCTACAACATCATCAGTTAATCAATCATCTTCATCATCCTCATCACTATTTATTCGAAATTGAAAAAAAAATGCTAAGATGAACCATTTGCAGAAATCCTAAGACCTAAGTTAGAATGTCCCTGTCTATAAGTATTGCTTAAGGAAAAACAAGCCCGATGTTTGTCCGTGTGCCGGCAAACCTGTTCATTCTTGTACGTAATTCCAGGAATAATGGAATAAAAAATGGAATAATTGCATCATTAACTTTGTTGAGTAGTTTGGTAGAATACTATAAAGCTTGGAAAGGGAAGAGGAACATCTTTGCAATACTACTATTAAACCAAAACTGCTTTACCATAGGTTGATGATTAGTTTGGTAGAATACTATAAAGATTGGAAAGGGAAGAGGAACATCTTTGCAATACCACTATCAAACCAAAACTGATTTGCCATAGGTTGGACAGTTTAGGTAGGAGAGAAACTTCTTTGCAAAACTGATTTGCCGTCGGTGAGGGCACATAAACCAACTATGACCCTTTTTAAAAAAAAAAATAAAAAATAAAAAATAAAAACTAGATATTGACTAAAAATAAAAACACTCAGAATTTTTTATAGGGCACTCGCTTGATAAATCCAAATTTGAATTTTGTTTGGCCGAAAGTTAAGGTGCTATAATACTTTGTCTAAAAGGACAAATTCAAGCAAAATGTCCAAAATATCCTTTCTTATATATGATACATACACGGTTGCCAAACCCTAATTTCCACTCTTCTCTCTCTTTCTCTCTCACATCTGCCACATGCCTATATTCCGGGAATACTGAATAATCACCCGGTGGGGAAATTATTTAATAATCTTGGAATACCACGTGACCATATTCCAAGCCAATCACCAATTATTCAGCTTCTATGTTATTCCCCTATCCCTAACATAAATTGTGGGCCCATACCTCTCTCTACCAATCAAAACCTTATGGAACACCATGTGTCCATACTCCGGGAATACAGAATAATCACCCCCATGCTGATGTCGTCGCCTCCTCATTTCTTTTTTTTTCCTCATTCGCCTCCCATGCCAATGTCATCGCCTCCTCCTCCACCACCGCCACGGTGGCTGCTG